AGACAGAGAGACAGGCAGAGAGAGAGAAAGGAGGAAGCTCCCTGCTGAGCAGAGAGCCTGATGCGGGGCTTGATCCCAGGACCCTGAGATCATGACCTGAGCCGAAGGCGGATGCTTAACAACTGAGCCACCCAGGTGCCCCTCTGGGCACACTTTTTTTTTTTTTTTTTTTTTTTTTTTTTTTAAGATTTTATTTATTTATTTGTCAGAGAGAGAGAGCGAAGAGCGAGAGCGAGCACAGGCAGACAGAGTGGCAGGCAGAGTCAGAGGGAGAAGCAGGCTCCCCACTGAGCAAGGAGCCCGATGCGGGACTCAACCCCAGGACGCTGGGATCATGATCTGAGCCGAAGGCAGCTGCTTAACCAACTGAGCCACCCAGGCGTCCCTGGGCACACTTTTTAAATGATGTTCATTATAGACATTTTCATAGGTTCATGCTCTTGTTTTCATGTTGTTCCAAGTAAACTAATAGTTGTTTTTTTTTTTTTAAGATTTTATTTATTTATTTGAGAGAAATAGTGCAACCAGGGGGAGTGGGAGAGGAAGAAGCCGGCTTCCCTCTGAGCAGGGAGCCCAATGTGGGGCTGGATCCCAGGACCGTGGGATTATGACCTGAACCAAAGGCAGACACTTAACCAACTGAGCCACCCAGGTGCCCCAAACTACTAGTGTTTATAGACCCTCTGTGTGATTTCTCTTTTTTGCATTTCATCCTGCCATGGGGACACAAATGAGAGAAACGATTCCTGCACTCTGTAAGTAGGTCTTGTGGCCGGGCCAGGCACCGTGACATAGTAATAAAGTAAAACAGATGGGAGTCCTCCTGGCCATGTCACCTCCCTCTCTATTTCCCAAACTGGCCACTTGAAATATTTGCCCTTCTCCTGGAGGACCCTACTCCATGCCTTCCTTGTTGCCACATGCTGCCACCCCCCTGACCTCACCAGGTCCCTGCAGATGTGTCACTTTCTACCTCACAGAAGCCATGAGGCATAGACTTTCATCTTCCTAAGCCTCTCTCTCTCCCCCCACAAAACGCATCTGTAGCCGTCATTCCTCATAGATCGGGTGGAAGACCCTCTCCACAAATCAAGGGTTATCCTGCCACCTGGACCAGAATCCATCACCTCCTTCTTCGTGAAGAGGACCGTCCTTCTTCACCCACCCTGAACTCCTAGGTCTTATAGGATATCTAGTTATGGATATCTAGTTATGCTCAAAACCAAACTTTTCTCAGATGCTCAGGCCTAAAAAACCTTACAGTCATGATTTTTTTCTCTCTCATATATCACATTCCATCTTTCATCAAATCTTAGTGCTTATCCTTCAAAATGTATCCAGAACCACCGCTTCAATCCTTGTACAAGCCATCGGATTCTTGTTCTGCCCAAATTACTGCTCTGGCCTTCTAAATAATCCCCCGGCTTCCACCCTTGCCCCTTATACTGTATTCTTAATAGCTAGAGTGGTCTTGTTGAAACACAAGTCAGAATCTGACAACCTTCTGCTTGAACCTCCAAACATATCCCATCTCACTTCGAGCAAGGCCTAACCCTTCATAGGGGACAACAAGGTCCTACGTGAACCACAGCTGGTACCTCTTGGGCCTTATTCTTCTACCCTGCTCCTCCCTCCCTCTGCTCCAGACCCTGGCCTCACGGCTCTTCCTTCAGCATTCCACGGACACCCCTGCTTCAGGCCTGGAACGTCAGCAGGGGTCTTTCTAGGTTCATCTCAACATTCAGACTCTAAGATGAGCCTAACACTCATCTGGCTGTGGAATCACCTAGCAAGATCCAGGAGGTAAGTCACAGCTTGCCAGCAAAGCAGCATCAGGCTTCCTACCTTTGGAAGAACCTTCACATCTGTGTATGGTCCACGCCCTGCCCAGGACCTCATTGCAAGCCCCTCCTCCCCAGATCATCTCAGGCACAAGGAAAAAAGATCCGCTGGAGGTGGGGGTCTGCCTTTACCCTGTCTTAAAAGCCTTATGCTCCAAAGGGACTGATAATCTGTTGTAACTCAATAGATACCCTTTCGGTGTATCAAAGGATGTGCCTGCCCAGTTATAGGTGTCCCCATAATCACAGAAGTCCCATGGTGTGGCTTCCTCCCAGGCATCTGTCATTCTTCCAGCCCAGCCGCCATTGACCAAACAGCAGTCATTTCTACCATCAGCACCGTTGCCTAGTAACACGGCTAACATTCTACTTTTATCAGGTCTCCAGGGCAACAGAGCTAGAAAGTTGAGAAAGTCAAATGTCAAATTCTCCTGGAGAAGGGGAAGGGATCTGTGAACACTTTGTCCACGCGTCTCTTGTTTTTGCTCTTCCCTCTTCCAGGGAGGCTCCTCCCTGGACATTGGCCCGGCCTCCTCCTTCACTTCTTCCAGTTCCTTTATCAGACGTCACCTTCCCAATGAAGGCTTCCTGCTTGAGAATTGCAACTCCTAACATTACCTGCTGAGACCATCCTCATATGCTCTCATTTCTTTTCCACTGTCCTTATTACCTTCTAATATATAATATTATAATAATATAATATGATATAATATGATATGATATGATATAATGTAATATTCTAACATATAATCCACTAACTGGTTTTTCTTATTGGCTTTCCCACAGAATTTAAACTCCATAAGGCAGGGATATTTGTCTTTTACTTTTTCCTCCTGCCTTGGTAATTCTGAGCACCTAGGACAGTGCCTGGGACACTGTGGTTTCTTCAACAACCATTTGTTTTATTTACTAGTGAACATATATTCTTTCTCTCAAGTTCTAGTTTTTCACTGGCATCCTTTCTGGGGGGCAGAGGAAGGGCAAAATGTTTTCAAGCTACAAATAAAAAGCAGCATGGGCTTAGAGATTAAAAGCAGAGACTTTGGGGCCAAACTGCCTGGGTTTTTGGCATTTACCTTGGAAGTTTCCCTAAGCTCTCTGAGCCTTTGTTATCTCACTGGAAATGAGGATAATAATAGTACCTACATCTTACAGTTGCCATGAGGATGAAATGAGTTAAAATATGTATGAAGTATTCAGAAACTCTCCTGACACTTGGGAAACACTATGTGGTAACTATTATTGAAATCAACTTTTTTTTAAAAGAGGATGGCGGAGGAGTGGGGGGGGGGGCAGAAGGAAAGGGAGAGAAAGAATGCTAAGCAGGCTCCACACCTAGCACAGAGCCTGATGAGGGCTTTAGTTCATGACCCTGAGATCATGACCTGAGCCGAAATCAAGAGTTGGTTTCTTAACCAACTGAGCCACCCAGACACCTCTTAAAAGTCAACACTTAAAAGGCCTTTATTTCTATTCTGCACCACTTCTAGTTATTTTCCTTTCTTCCAAGTTTATCTTCTTCTCAGCTAATCTACTTGAAAGTCACATCTACCCCACAGTCTTTAATTTCTATTCACTTTTCCAACCACTCAAACTATGATTTCGAATGACCTATGTGCCACTTTTCTCTCCTTAGTCCATGAGTTAGCTGTATGTCTACCATCACGATCTTCCTGACTTTTGAGCCCCTCCTCTCTCCTGGTTACCACCTATCTGTGTGGATGCCCCTTCTCAGTCTCCTGCAGGGGCACCCCTTTTTCCTTCACTCTTGCTTTGATACTTCTGACATCATGTCACCTGCCACATTCTCCTTGGTGATTCCATTCACAGGCAGAGATAGCTTCAACTCTCACACTCATGACACCCAACAGATGTCAGTCCTACTGACAATTTCCCAAAGAAATCACGTTCTTCCCAACATCCATGACTTAGAACTTTCTTTGTCCTTGGCACCTTTTTCAACCCCCACTTCCCTCCCCCTGACTATCGCTGATTCTCCAAGGTTTTTTTTAAAGATTTTATTCATTTACTTGAGAGAGAGCAAGAAAGAGCAGGAAAGAGAGGGAGAAGCACACTCCCTGCTGAGCAGGGAGCCCAATGTGGGGCTCGACCCCAGGACTCTGGGATCAAGACCTGAGCTGAAGGCAGATGCTTACCTGACTGAGCCATCCATGCTCCCTGGTTTTCCAAGTTTTAATACAATCATCCCCTTTTCTCTTTTCTCCAAGCCCAGTGCCCCATCTCTGCAATCCTTTACTGCTTTATATCCCTCTATCATAGTAAAACACTTAACTGCTGGTTTAGTTTTACCTGAGACATTAGCTGTGTGTGTGTATGTATATATGTGTGTGTGCATCTCCTTAAAGTACAGTGCCTGGCACATAACAAGTAAGCAAAAGCATCTGGATTCAATATATGAATATATAGCATCTACACAGAATAAATTTTGATTGGGTTACATTTTAATTCAGAAATAAATCTGGGGGGTGGTGCCTGGGTGGCTCAGTCAGTTAAGCATCTGCCTTGATTTTGGCTCAGATCATGATCTCAGGGTCATGAGATCGAGCCCCACATCGGGCTCTGCACTGAGCATGGAGCCTGTTTGGGATTTTCTCCCTCTCCCCCTCCCCCATCCCCCGAAACAAGTGCACAGATGTGCACATTCTCTCTCTTCTCTCTAAAATAAGTAAGTAAATACATATTTTGAAAATAATTAAACAGTAGATAAAATAATTTTATCTTCTCAAAATGCTAGTTCTTTCAGAAAATGCTATCAGGAATTAGTATAAGAGGTAAAGAAAAAGCTTCCATTCGGGCAATATAAATGACACTGTGGCTGTACATATTAGATTTTCCTATAAAGCCAACTCTGAAAGATAAGGGATTCCCTTTGATGTCAGTGGCATCAAGTATTACTTGATCACAGGCAATGGCTATCTGGGCTCAGTGAAATCTTACAAGTACCCCATTTACCTTATTAGGAACATTCAATAAATACGTGTTTTGGGCTTCCTGCCGTGACTACAAACACCATATACAGGTAGAGAAGGGCAACTAGTACTTACATGGTTCAAAATCACACTGCCAGCTCTTTTTAGAGGTTTCAATAGCTGAGCGTCTTGCTCTGGCTTCCGCTGGGACCCGAGTCTAGGCACCTACCTGGAGAGTACATCCGAACACACCGATCATCAGCATAGCCACCGAAAGGTAGTCGGTAAACACGTCCCACCACGGTTTCAGCACCCGGAAGGCAGGCTGCTGCTCAGAGAACTGCCGGAACTCTGTCACCGGAATCATGTTCTGAGAAAGGAGAGGTTGTGGGTTAGTTCATCTTCGTGCACAACACACTGCACTGACAGCCTTGGAGATGCCGCTTCAACCGTGAGAAACAGTCCGCATCTGTCCAGGAGTTGTGATGGCGTCTGAGTGTTTTATTAAGCCAACAAACAAACCACCAGTAGCGTGGTTTCCTCATGGAAAAGGCAAGTCCTTTACTGACTATTATCCCGTAAGTGGGTTCCTTTTGGCTGCATGTGGACCGGAGAGACCATGGCCAGGGCAGAGCATTATTTCCTGGACTCTCCCTCCCCCTAAACAAAAGGGGAAGGTGCTAGAGGGAAAAGAGTCCAACCTTTGAAATGTTTCTGTTATTTACCTTACCATCCTGGGTTGCTGCTTAAACTCTTATGTGCAATCTCAGCACTGGTTTGTGTTATTTACTGATCTCTCTTTGTAAAAGAAAAGCGCTTGCTCCCTGGGAAGGCTAAGCACTTTGCCACATAGTCCTTGTCCTGTAAGAGGGAAGATCTCCCTGGTGGTGGTTGCTGTAGGGGGAGGGGATACTTTGGAAAGGACTTCATTTTTTTCTTGCCTCCCATTTTTGTCCCTGTGCTTTTGACTTCTTTTCTCTATTTTCTGTATTCTCATCTTTCACCATGAACCTCAAATTCATCCTGATTTTCTCCTATGAGAAATCAGTTGCTTCCGGAAATGTCTATCTCTAGCGAAATAACAGAAGATAAAAGAATAAGAGCACCCGAGGCTCTGGGGGAGAAGGGGAAAGACGCCCATCCTCTTCTAGTCTGCGTTGTACTTTCTCACGGCTCAACCCCACTGCCTTTACTGTGATCCGGGACTCGAAGTTTATCATCCTGCTACTGTGAGAAGGAATGTTCTTTTCTTATGGTAACAAATAAGGGTAGCCAATGAGAGACAAAAATAACATTTCTCTCCTGTTTGGCACCTTTGGAACCAGTAATCTAGCTCTCTGCATCTGTCCTTGTTACTCAGTCCTCATTAAAAAGCAAGGGCAAGGCTACATTGGCAGCCAATTTCCCAAGCTCTGCTTGTGTTTTGGATCTTTCCTTCCTGAATACTGAATTAACAGCTATACAGTAAACAGTCCCAAGCCAAGCCAAGCCAAGCCAAGCCTCTTTGAGTTCACAGGTGGTTTATCTTTGGAAACTACTATGTTACCCATTCTGTCTTGCTGCTTTAGCTGACTTCCTTAAGCAGAGCTACATCTTCTTTTTGGATTTATGCCTTAACACAAGGTTGAAAATTTCAACTGCCCAGTGCCACTCTCACCTATGACCTACCTGCTTGACATCTGTGTAGCATTTGATTTGACTTTTTTTTTTTTAAGATTTTATTTATTTATTTGACAGACAGAGATCACAAGTAGGCAGAGAGGCAAATAGAGAGAGGGGGAAGCAAGCTCCCTGCTGAGCAGAGAGCCAGATGCGGGGCTCGATACCAGGACCCTGGGATCATGACCTGAGCTGAAGGCAGAGGCTTTAACCCACTGAGCCATCCAGGCGTCCCTTGACTTTTTTTTTTTTTTTTTAATGATTTTCTCATTTTATTGAAACCCAACTTGCCTAACTCCATTCTGTTACTACGACTAGGCTGCAAGCTTCTTGAAGGGAGATCCTATAAATCATGCATGTGTGTTCTCAAAACATATGTTGCCGGCAAGCCGCACAAGCTAAATAAAGAACTTTGCAGATTCCTCGAGTCTTTGACATTTCAGACTAGTCCAAAGTTTGATATCCCGACACTTCATGACCTCTTTGCTTCTCAGTGAATCATTACAACCTCACTGCCCCAAATGTTTCCTAGTCCTGAAGGTTTCAGGGGCAGTCCCAGAGGCTCTCACTCCTCTTAGCCTCCAAGTTCTGCTTCAGAAGCTGCTGTCTTATTTTATTTTGCATTCCCATCACTTACCACAGTACCTGGCAAACAGGAGGAGGCCCTAAACCAGTATTGTTGAATACGTGGATTCCAATGCTTGTGCGTGGAGCAGTGCTCCTCCAAATCAGATCTGGGGTGAGTCGATCCAGCCGCTGTGGCAACGCTAACAAGGACGGCACTGGTGCTCTGGTCTACATTCTCAGACGGATTTTTTGGTTGTTTCCTTCACAGTAAGGCCTGTATACTTAGGGGGACCTGGGCTTATCTTGTCTTTATTTTCCATATTAAGAGACTAATGCCTGTAAAGGCAACTTGGTCAAGGACTCAAAGAACCTCGCTTATTTTGAGTGCCCAGGGTTTGCTTTTTTAATGTGAGCTGCAGATAGAGAAAAGAACAGTAAGCCTCTACCTCAAAGCTTCTCAAAGTGTGGTTCATGGAACCCTAGTGGCCTAAACCTCTTTAGGGAGTCCACACGGTCAAAACTAATGTTAAGTTTTGTTTTTGTTTTTGTTTTTGCCTCTTTTAACTCGTGGTGCAAAAGCAATGGTGGGTAAGGCACCTTAGCATGAATCAAGATAGAGATTTCAGACTGTACTGTGGTGATTGTATTCTTTTTTTTTTTTTTTTTTTTTTTTTTTTTTGAGGGAGAGAGGGGGAGAGAGCAAGCACAGGCAGACAGAATGGCAGGCAGAGGCAGAGGGAGAAGCAGGCTCCCTGATGAGCAAGGAGCCCGATGTGGGACTCGATCCCAGGACGCTGGGATCATGACCTGAGCCAAAGGCAGCTGCTTAACCAACTGAGCCACCCAGGCATCCCTGTGGTGATTGTATTCTTCATTGGCATACACTTACAACTTTGAAAAAAAATACCAGTTTCATTTAATGTCCTTATTGACCTAATAAAAATTACTTCAATAACTCACAACCCATGACTACATATTGTATTAATGCACTATATGATGGAGAAGAATACATAAAGCATTTCTGCTGCATTCCACAGTACGATGGTTGTCCCAAAGGAAAGTCCTTATTTGTTTTTTTTTTTTTTAAGATTTTATTTATTTATTTGACAGAGAGAGAGAGAGATCAGAAGTAGGCAGAGAGGCGGGGAAGCAGGCTCACTGCTGAGCAGAGAGCCCGATGTGGGGCTCGATCCCAGGACCCTGAGATCATGACCTGAGCCGAAGGCAGAGGTTTAACCCACTGAGCCACCCAGGCATCCCAAAAAGTCCTTATTTGAATTGAGAGCTGAATTAGCTACTTTATTATAGTATGCCACTTTTATTTGAATAAAATAACTGGTTTTTCAGACTTTAGTATGTGGAAGATAATTTATAGAAATGAATAAAGTGAGCCTAATGCTTCAAGAAAAGCCACTGATGCTATTTGCTGCCTGAAATGAAATTCAAACTTTCCAGTGGTGATTAGACAAACTAAGGATTCTAAGAAACCTAAGTATTGTACACTGCCTCCTACTACTGGCACAGCCTAATTAAGATGGGTCATTAGAAAGAAGACATAACACATGGCCAACAGCACATGAAAAAAATGCTCCACATCACTCGGCATCAGGGAAATACAAATCAAAACCACAGTGAGGTTCCACCTCACACTAGTCAGAATGGCTAAAATTAACAAGTCAGGAAACAACAGGTGTTGGTGAGGATGCGGAGAAAGGGGAACCCTCCTACACTGTTGGTGGGAATGCAAGCTGGTGCAGCCACTCTGGAAAACAGCATGGAGGTTCCTCAAAAAGTTGAAAATAGAGCTACCCTACAACCCAGCAGTTGCACTACTGGGTATTTACCCCAAAGATACAAATGTAGTGATCTGAAGGGGCACCTGCATCCCAGTTTTTATAAACAGCAATGTCCAAAATAGTCAAACTATGGAAAGAGCCCAGACTTCCAACAACAGATGAATGGATAAAGAACATGCGGGGTGTGTGTGTATGTATGTATGTATGTATGTGTGTGTGTGTGTGTGTGTGTGTATATATATAAAACGGGATATTACTCAGCCATCAAAAAAAAAAATCTTGCCATTTGCAAAGTCGTGGATGGAACTAGAGGGTATTATGCTGAGCGAAATAAATCCATCAGAGAAAGACAATTATCACAGGATCTCACTCAGATGTGGAATTTAAGAAACAAAACAGAGAGCATAGGGTAAGGGAGGGAAAAATAAAACAAGGTGAGATCAGAGAGGGAGACAAACCATAAGAGACTCTTAATCTCAGGAAACAAACTGAGGGTTGCTGGGGGGTGTTGGGGGAGGGATGGGGTGGCTGGGTTATGGACATTATGGAAGGCATGTGATGTAATGAGCACCAGGTGTTATATGCAACTGGTGCATCACTGACTTCACCTCTGAAACTAATAATATACTGTATGTTAACTAACTAAATTTAAATAATTTTTTTAAAAAGGTGGGTTATTAGAGAAATAGCTGGTCAAAATGACACAGCCTTTTAGTGTTCGAGTCCCCAACACGCTTCACCTCTTTTGGGTAAGTTTATGTATATGGGCATGCTTATGTACATACCACATATGTGTGCACATATATATTACATATGAATGGTATATAGACAGATGTAGAATACATACACACACATAGACTTTATAATTTTAACATATCATAATCTCACTCAAAGGTGATATCCAGCACAGCAATAATCCTTGGAATTATTTCTGATGCAAAAAAAGGGTAGGAAAAAAGAAGTTGATTACAAAACTCCAATAATTAAAGAGAGGACAGATGGACCTTATGCTCACTGGTTGAAAAAAATTTTTTTGTATTCTTTCACGAATGTCAGCACCTCTGATGACACAGATGCGTAACCCGGACTACACTTGATTTCTCTTTCATTATTATTTTAGCTTCCGATTGATTTGTTACCATTTCAAGAGTTAGTGTTTCAAGCTGAAGGAGTCACTTCTGAAAATAAACTGCTTGGGTTTAAATGTTTCTTTTTCCCCCTAAACATTAATCAGCATAATTTTCTTTTTTTTTCTATTTCAGAAATATAAATGATTATCTCTATATTTCTTCCAACGTGGATTTCCAACATATTATGTAAGAGTTTAGTTTACCTAATTAAATAATGT